TAATCGTCAAATTATGGAACAGCACGACCAGGGCATCGAGATGAACCTTCTGTATGAAAATCNTGCAGAAAGATGGCTGCGTCGGTCGCATATAAATAAAATTAAATGAAATGTTTTTTCCTTTTAATCAAATGAAGGCAAGAAATATATTTTTCATGCTATTATTGATATGAAATATTAATTTATTTCTCGTTAATATGTTAATTTAGTGGCCAAAGTAGTCTCTGCCAAGCTTCATTGTAGAACGCATACTTTTAACGTGCGTTCTGTCAAACCAACGCCAACTACAAAGTCAACGCGAAAGTTCTATGTGGACCAGCCTTAATTATCAAATAGTAGTTTGTATTATCCTACATACATATATATGTAGGGGCTAAACCAGGAATATTCATTTGAAAATGCTGATGTCCTACTTATTTATGAAATGAAAGACAAAATAATGATTTTTATAAATATTATGTTCTCATTTATACATATGTAACATAGTTACTTAGTCAAATTACTTAGTAATTACTTGTATGTAAGAATACAACAACAAATTATTTATCAGAAGCATTGCCCCTTGCATATTGAAAAAAAGTAATAAAAGCTCTCAAAAAAGCAAAATCGCTACAGCGAAAAGTGTTTGAAAACCCGCATAAATTCAAATCCGCATAAAAAAGAGCCGCATAAAAAGAGACCTAAGTGTATAAGTTGAAATTTTATAAGAAATTATTGAACATTAAAAACATTATACCTACATAGATATGTATGCTCATATGTGCCTACCTAGTAGATAAAACTGGTCCAAATAGCACGAATCTATTCTTCTGTGCATGAGAATATATACAAACATATGTGTACATACATATGTATGTATATACATATCTGCATGCGTGCATACAATCCTTTACTCGAAATTCTTAGTTGCTGCAATTTTTATCCCATACATTTTTGCCGACCAAACAACGCGTTTGCCTGTCTAATCTGCTTGCCTCATTTGCCTCGCTCGTTTACTCGCCTCGCTCGTCTGCTGCTGCAAATGAGTGCCTCGCTCGCAACGACGCCCTCGCGAGGGCAGAGCTAATGAGGCTCTCGTTTGCTTGCCGCTCTACTCTTGCGCTGCCCTCGTTTGCTGACTCGCTCGCTGGCTGCTCAGCGCGTGCGCTCGTACTCAACGAGTGCTCATTTGCAAACAGCCTCGCGTGTTGCTCGTGTGTTGCGCTAGCTCAGGCAAATCCGAACCCTGATTCCAATGATTTGAAAGGTACTCGGCAAAAAAAACTGTATTCTTATTCGGAATGCAATCTCAACCAGAGTCGATATAGTAAACCCGACAAAGAAATTGAAACGTATGTTGAAGAAAGTCGGACCTACAAGATATATACACGTAGATCCTGTTTTTTGCCCCTCTGAGAGAATTTTAATTTATATGGCTTATACCGCTAGCTCTCGTAGCTGGCTACGAGATCGTTNTTTCGATGGGGTAGCGAAGTGTTAGAAAATTGTAAAAAATGTATGATTTTGCATTTGTTTTCTTACTTTTGGCGGGTAGACACTACTTTTAAACAATTTTTTATCAATTTCATGCAGTTTTAACGTCGTGAATACAAAACAAAAGCTCGAAAGGCTGCTTTACTTGTGAAGGAAAATCCCAATANCTTCCCTACAAGGCCTTTTCAGACTGACCGATTCTCAATACACTCAAATAGAAACCAATACACATAAAAAAACGTTGTAAAAATTTCCCTTCAATTTTAAGGCAGTAAAACAACGACCTTAAGTTAACATCACATCAGGCTATATGTTGACAAGGGATGCAAAATCAAAGTTACACAAAAGAACTGGTCAGATTTTTCAGAAATCGCTTCAATTCTGATGTAAAATATGATGCCAAAAGACTGCAGATCTCCTATTTAGATGGCCGGTCATATGACCGTCAGATGTCTCGTAGGATTCCCAGAGAGTTTTGCTTTACATAGAAATTTGAGCTCTTTTATTTTCATTTTGACTCACTTAGTGCTGGTTCCTTTAATTCAAGTTGGCATTCGGTTTTTGGAATTTAAATAAATTCTCAGCAACAAAGTTTGTTTAAAAAAATACATAGGCCCTTTTATTATGAGTTGCATTCGATTTTCGATCTTCGCTGGTTATCGAAGATCGAAGATCGAAAGGGAATTCGTATTATGAGCAATGCAACCGTGTCGAAATTTTCGTTGAGTATCGAATTTTCTGTCGAACAGAATTTTGCTTTCGATGGGGTAGCGAAGTGTTAGAAAATTGTAAAAAATGTATGATTTTGCATTTGTTTTCTTACTTTTGGCGGGTAGACACTACTTTTAAACAATTTTTTATCAATTTCATGCAGTTTTAACGTCGTGAATACAAAACAAAAGCTCGAAAGGCTGCTTTACTTGTGAAGGAAAATCCCAATAGTCAGTTGGAACGATCTCTGAGAACAAATCATAGAGCTATGGATAACTTTAAAATATTTTAAAAAGATTTGGCTCACAAAAGCCTCTTTAGACAGTCGGAAGTTTTTAGTAAATCTGTAGGCAAATTTCTTAAATATATTTTATGTCAAAATATATTGTAAAGACTACACTTAAACTCTCTTAAACATTCACTACTCCTGGTCAGTTCACTAAACTCTCATCCTCTGACGAATCGTTGAACCCCAGAACTTCGTTGTACTAATTTTTACCACGTTTTTATAAACTTGCTTTCTTTTTTATTTCATTTTAATTTGCACAAATTTACATAAATATGTATAAGAACACTATTTAGTTTGCTCGATTCGTAAACAAAGCTTCTCAGCGGTGAAAAATATGATATTGTGAACAACATAAACGAGCGAAGCTCACAATAGCGCTATTCTTCATCGAATGAGCGCCATAATACCAAATCAAAATTCGTTCGATCAGCACTTTGGACCACAGTCGAAGATCGAANCAAAGTTTGTTTAAAAAAATACATAGGCCCTTTTATTATGAGTTGCATTCGATTTTCGATCTTCGCTGGTTATCGAAGATCGAAGATCGAAAGGGAATTCGTATTATGAGCAATGCAACCGTGTCGAAATTTTCGTTGAGTATCGAATTTTCTGTCGAACAGAATTTTGCTTTCGATGGGGTAGCGAAGTGTTAGAAAATTGTAAAAAATGTATGATTTTGCATTTGTTTTCTTACTTTTGGCGGGTAGACACTACTTTTAAACAATTTTTTATCAATTTCATGCAGTTTTAACGTCGTGAATACAAAACAAAAGCTCGAAAGGCTGCTTTACTTGTGAAGGAAAATCCCAATAGTCAGTTGGAACGATCTCTGAGAACAAATCATAGAGCTATGGATAACTTTAAAATATTTTAAAAAGATTTGGCTCACAAAAGCCTCTTTAGACAGTCGGAAGTTTTTAGTAAATCTGTAGGCAAATTTCTTAAATATATTTTATGTCAAAATATATTGTAAAGACTACACTTAAACTCTCTTAAACATTCACTACTCCTGGTCAGTTCACTAAACTCTCATCCTCTGACGAATCGTTGAACCCCAGAACTTCGTTGTACTAATTTTTACCACGTTTTTATAAACTTGCTTTCTTTTTTATTTCATTTTAATTTGCACAAATTTACATAAATATGTATAAGAACACTATTTAGTTTGCTCGATTCGTAAACAAAGCTTCTCAGCGGTGAAAAATATGATATTGTGAACAACATAAACGAGCGAAGCTCACAATAGCGCTATTCTTCATCGAATGAGCGCCATAATACCAAATCAAAATTCGTTCGATCAGCACTTTGGACCACAGTCGAAGATCGAATGTATCTCATAATAGGGGCCATATGTGTACATAGTGCTTGAAAATATCAATCAAGGATCGACTCTCACCACCTATTTGTCGACTTTAAAGCCGATGTTGAAGAAAATAATAAGAGCTGCAGAACTGAACCGCTCGGGAAAAATTTACTACAAGAGGTAAACGAGGACAAGACGAAGTCAAACAAACAGTCAGCACACTCGCGCCTTGGCACCCACGTCACTGTTGACGGTTATGATTTCGAGAAAGTAAAGAATATCGTATACTTGGGAACCAGCATTAACACCGATAATAATGTCAGCATGGAAATCCAACGCAGAATCACTCTTGCCAACAAGTGCTACTTTGGACTGAGTAGGGAATTCAGGAGTAAAGTCCTTACTCGACGTACGAAAACCACACTCTACATATAAGTCACTCATCATGCCCGTGCTGGTATATGGCGCAGAAGCATGGACAATGACAACATCCGATGAGGCGGCTCTTGGATTATTCGAGAGAAATATTTTGCGGATGCTTTACGGGCCTTTACGCGTTGGCGACGGCGAGTACCGCAGACGATGGAACGATGAGCTGTATGAGCTTTACAACGACATGGACATAGTGGCGTCAATTGGCACAGAGGAGAAACGACTGGCGTACTTTGCTGAACTCGGCCAAAATCGCTTCGGTGATTACAGCGCCAAAAAAGAAGAAGAAGAAAAATAAGGTTCATTCGGGCCCATTTGACATCCCTTGTCAATATCTGACGCGATTGAGTAAATTTTTTGTCACCCATTTTTGACCATTCCGTACGCAAAAATCCAATAGGTCAAAATGACGCTCGAGTAAATCTCGATTTAGCATCGTGGGCCACTACTAATAACAATTATATTTAACTATTTTGTTGTGGGTTTGCTTTTAAAAATTAAAAATTTTTGCTTCTGTAAAACTTCAGATTTGTCAAATATGGCCATTTGCCTTGCTGGTGCCGATATTCTTCAGACGTACTAAAAAATTGATGGCGAGCAAAATTTGTTTTACTGTTTTTACTTAGATATCTAGCCGGGGTTCACAGTTTTCAAGCCTTGTGGTGTTTTGTGTTCTAATTTTCTTACACGTTACTTCGATAAATTTTAATTAGTATTTGATTAAATTTCTGAGTTTGGTCCTTAATAACTTTTGCTCAATAACCATAGCACACATTTTATAAACACTTTAAGTTTGTCTTTTTGCACATTAGACTCGAAATTTGAGGGCGCATGATTTATTTTTTTTTTAGTTGCAAAATTCGCATACAACGGATGCGTAAAAAATAATGTTAGCTTCAAAATAATGTATATACATGAATTTGTGTATGTATGTGTGTGCGTCATATAATTAAGATTTTTATTAATTATAATGTAACTCTATGGAATGACGTTTGCAAACCTTGGATCTAAGTAGTTAATCGATTTGTCGAACATATACTTTACCAATCACATATATTAGTATTCCTGTACTCTACGTCAAATAAGTTGACAAAATATTTTCAAGGCTTGTTTTCAGCGGAAATCAATATAAAAATAACAACATAATTAAACTCTTCGTAATATATTGTTTGAATTATTTTCACCAACGTATTACTGTTTTATCTCCGAAAAAAATATGTGCATATTTAATTTTATAGTCGGCATTTGTAGTAGTGCTTTATCAATAGTCATATTCGTTGTCCTGCAAAAAATAAACACAAAGTTAATGGTGCTAATTTCATGTTTCTTAAACTTACTTTAAACATTTCTTTTCCCGATGCCCGGAATCTAGTTTCCTTTTCGCTATAATCCCGCTCTCTAATGTGCTTCGTACGCTGACTATATTCAATTTTATGTCCATGTCTGCTTCCATATTCATTGTCTCTATCCGCGTCAGCATCAGTTCTATCATCCTTTTCCTTTTGTTGCGAATCTGGAACAAGGCCCATTCTATGGCTTTCATTTCGGCGTTGATCATTGAAACTATTATGAAAGCTTCCACGATATGAATTATTTCGTTCACGAAAACTAGTACTGCCAAAATATTTTTGAGATCCGCCGATTCCTCGACTATCCCTTTCCCTATCTCGGTCGTCACTTTGACGACTGTAATGTCTACTAATGGGTGATGTCATAGTTAAATTATCATATGCATTTGGTTTTTTTGAAACTTCCTCTTCTTGTTTTTTTTCGTAATGATAGAAATCATCGAAAATGGACGTAGAGTGTTTATAGCAGTGGAGTATTTGAAGAACTTCGATACCTTTAGCATTGGGCACCTCTTGAGTATCGCGTGAGTTTGTAACTGACTTATTGTCATTGTTTTCGAGACGAATATGCCTTAGTTTGGTATTGGGAACATCTTTAACATAAATCCATTTCACTTTAAATTTTCCTTTCCACTTATCTTGAGACCAGACACTGGACGTAGAATTGTAATCAACAGCAGTCATCATTTGAGCCATGCCACAAAAATGACCAGATCCGTTTACAGAAAAAAAGAGAAGTATTTGCCCACCCTCCTTTTGGCGCTCCTTAAACGCATCATCTAGTCGCTTGTTACCATGATCAGTTGAGCACCAAATTTCATATTTTATGCTCCGATGGATATCATCTTCTGAATATGATTTGATAACGAAAAATCTGAAAAAAATTTCCCGATATATTTAAATCAGTCGTTCTCATTATGCACAATTAACATACCTTGCTGAAGTTGCAATATTTAAGTCAATTTCTACAGGATTGTAATTGTTCTTGTCATGCAATTTTTCTAGCACTGCGTTGGAAGCTTCCGGTGTTAGCTCTTCAACATTTAAATTTTGTTCGGGTTTCGGTTCTCCGGTATCATGAGTTAACAATTCTGGCTCCAAAAGAGTGTAATTGTTCCTACGATCGGTGTATCGACTTTGATAAGCACTACTTCCAATATTGTCATCAGATCGTCTTTGACCCGTACTGGCACTCGCGTGTCCCCGACTATTTTGTTCAAGAGGTTGAGTAGACCAGTTCTTGCGAGAATTACCAATAGGTGAACCACGCGCACGTCCGTAATTATTTTTGTTGTAATTCGCTTTATTTTCTTCGCGAGGGTACTGACTTCCCTTCTGACCTTTATCTGTGTGCATCTCGATTTCATAATCACATCCAATTCCGACAGTAAAACTGGAATCAATTTCCGCAAATGATTTATCAGTCGAAGTAGGAGGTGACGGCAAAGGTGGGGGATTATTGTTGGGTAATTCCCATGTGTTTACATCCAAGTTATGCTTTCCTGGCACCATTGGGGGCGGAGGCATACCTGGACCCTTTTTTTTATGACTTAGTGTTGAGAGATTAGTCTACAGTTAAGTTTTTTTAATTAACAACATAAATCATTCAATTTTAAGAATATATGAACACTACCCTTGAAATCAATTTTGCTGGTTGCGAAGCAATGGAGGCCCAAGTTGTCTTTTTGGGCGCAGAAGTTGGAGGTGGGGCAGCTATTTTCTTTTCTTCGAATGGTACATTTATAATCGTCTTGGTGTCAAACTTGCTAGATGCGTATGTATTATCGGTTTTCGTAGACTAAGAATAAGAACCATTTTACAAACAAGAAATATTTCTTCATAAAAGAGGAATACTCACTCTATTAATATTTGAAGAGTTGTCGGACATATGTTTTCCTTTTTTTTGGTTTCCCCATGGATTGGATTGAAAGTCTTCTCTTTTTGTATTGCTAAATGTCACTGGTTTCCCTTGTTTTTTATTCGGGTCTACGGAAAGAAAGGTATATTTTTGTAGTTATATTTCAAGATTCAATTTCCATAAAAACCAATAAATAGCATATACATACAGCTCAAAATAATAGCACCAAAATTCAAAATGATATTGTTTGCAACTCATGTTCCTTTATTTCTAGTTTTCCTTCACCCGCTTCGCTGAGGGTAAGAAATTTCTGCGTGACATCAGGTGCAATTTATTTCAATTAAACAAAACTTATTTCAGCAAGAAATAACAGATTTTCAAATTTTTCATTTTGTTAGCCCCCTTCAGTATATTTAAAACTAACACCTTCTTAAACCTCTTTCGTCTGACACCCATATTGTGATGAATATATTAATAAATTCCCTTAGTTAAAGTTGAATTTATTATTTCAAACCAGTGGCAACCCTCCTTCATGTAGCTAAGAAATCAAACCTTTTCTAAACTATTTCGAATTATACCCATATTGTATTAATTTATTTAACATATTAAATAATTTGGTGGCAATCCTCTTCAAACAACTCAAAAAATTCTGAATGTTGAAAGCAAAATGTATTTAACAGTGTGATTGAATTTGACCTTGCTCTCAGAAGAACCATCCTATAAAGTCAAATTGAAAAGATTTTTATGAATTTCGAATCGTTTGTTTATAATTTTTTACATAATAGTACCTTAAAAGAGAGCCGCACTGAGTTTTCAATCACTCCTTGTTAAGTACACCTTGGTTCAAACTAAAGCTTTTTTTAACACTCTTTCGTTGGATACTTTCGCCGCTATTCTACAACACTTTCGTATTCGGATTTTGCTACGAATCGTAGAAATTGAATGCTTCAATCCGAATCGTATTTTCGAACTTTCGAAATTCGTAACAATGGCATGCCTAAAAACGAGCGAGTAAGAAATTTACAGCTTTTTTGCGTAATTTTTGGAAGTGAGATAAAAATTAATGGTGATTTCGTTTTTACCAAGAAATGTCGCCTTTTGATTGCCCTTTTCCCTTTTCGTGTTCGATTTTAAATTAAAGGCAAAGGGTGAGAAAATTTGAGTTCGTTTCTTAAAATGCCACACTCGTTTAAGGCAAAAAAGGCCCTATGAAGATTTGTCAGGGGAGATGAATGCCCTGAAAATCGGATGATTGTTTAAAACGACAATATGATGAAATACGTGAGCTAGGCAAAGAGAAGAAGGCAAAAACATGCCTTTTTACAGGGTTGAGTGTAACATCATGCACATTTTGCACCGGGGAAGGACAACATTTTTTGGAAGAAACGAAATCACCATACGTAAAAAGATGTAAGTCGATATGTGTTTGGAGGAAATATTAGTGATGTTCTTTTAAACCGATAAATTTGCCTTTCGCATATACGTATATTTTTATCCACTTCTTTATATGAAGGAACAAAAAATAATATTTGTTAGCCCTTATTGAGAAACGTGGGTACGGTTTAGTTATTTGTACAATGATTTTGGGCTGTTGTGTCCAAACGCCCGAATCTAAAAACTTTAACATACACGTGTAATCAAAGGATTAAACTTTCATTTAACTTTAATAAAAAAAGCGATACAACAATTAGGAACTATTTCGATAGGAATAAGAGTAACTTGTGCGATAAAGATAGAAATGTTAAAGAAGATTCTTGGATTGGTTAAATTTTTAATAAAACGTAATGAGAAAATTTGGGACACCTTTGAGCTTGCAACCACAGCCGCAAAGTTACGCCATTTTCATCCTGCTTTCAGCTCAGATCTCTAGCTCAAAGGCACCGCATGAAATTCATAAGCACTTTAAAAATATGTTCCAAAACTTCATTGTAAAAAGGATATAACGCATCAGTTAAAATTAAAAAACTATTATTATTTGTTATTTGAATGTGATCATGGTGAAACTATAAATAATGATAATAACAATAACAAAATTGGTTTACTTTCCCCATAGAATATGATATTGCACGTTAACTGAAAAATCGAGAAGAATTGAGAAAATAAAAAATATGTATAATTTTACTTGAATGAACTTCCAATATTTGCTTTGTTAATTTTCAAAACTTCAAAGAGTCAAAATCGTTCTGGCATCTTTAAGAAGATAGAAAAGCGACAGAAGGGTTTTATTGATTTTGGGAAATGAGTAACTATCGCTTTGATAACTTCCAATAGTGACGAAGAAGTGACATAGTAGCGATAGGCGATAAAATTCTCTTCCATTTGCTGGCAGGGTGGTTTAACAAATTAACCAGAAGCCGACATACATAGATGCCTCCATGGTAACTATGCCTGACAGCTCCGCATAGCTTTGTGCATTCATTTCTATAGCGCGCTCTTACTCTGCTGCTATAATGGAAAATGCAATAGAATCCATAATTTTCTGCCAAATATGTAAAATCAAACAATTTCACTATAAATAAGCACTTGATGAGTGTTTTTTAATTCCCTTCCACTTTGTTTTCCTTCATAGCTGACTTTGAAAAACAACTGATAGTTGGCAATGCTGCACGTTTCCGCAAGGAGCTACGAATTACGAATTACGAAAATTCGGGTTCTAGAATAAGGGTGTATAATTTAATTTAATTCCACTGAATGTTCAAAGTAAAGATTTTTTATCACTCTTTCGTTTGACACTTTAGCTTCTGTATAATTTACAAGAATGATAGAATACAAGATTGCGCCGATCAGAGAGGGTTTTTGAGAATAACTTTTGTGTGACGTCACACTGGTGCAATTGCGAGAGAGAAATGCCAAAACGTGAGCAAGAATGGAAGAAGAAGAAAAAATGTTGCAAGGAAAACGTAAACAAGTTGCACCAGTGTGACGTCATGCAAACAACGATTCTGTCAAATTCGTTAAGAGAGGAATAGCGGTCCGAGATCGGCGCAACCTTTGTATTCTCTCAATCGTGTATAATTTAATTAAATTCCACTGAATGTTCAAACTAAGATTTTTTAACACTCTTTCGTTTGACACCTTAGCTTCTGTATAATTCAATTAGGGCACTGGCCCGTTGGGGTGCATGCCGAAAGGATAGAACTGCCCTTCAATAGGTTCTGCCGCAGCTGCGATGACCCGGGCTCAAAACGGGCAGTCGCACACTTGCTGTGCGAGTGTACAACCCTCGCAAGGATGAGGCTAAAGACACTCGGCAAACCATTCCTGCAGAATATTTCAGAGTGCAGCTGCCTCTCTCTGTATGACGTACTGAAATTTATTAAAGCCGCCAAACGGCTGTGGTTGTACGAGTTGTGGAATCAAAAATTGCTTGTCACCAGGTTGACAATCCACTTAAACCAACCAACCATAATTTACTTTTCAAACAGGTGGCAACCCTGTTCAAAACATTTTCAAACTACAACCTTCTAGTCTTTTTTGTCTGAAACCTATATTGCGATACATATTTTAGATAAATTATTACCTTAATTCAAGTTTAATTTGGTTTTTTATACACATAGCAACCCTTCTACATGTAACTTTTTTAAACCCTTTTCGATTTATACCAATATTGTAATTATTCACTTACATTATACAATAATTTTAATTTAACTTTTTCAACAGGTCAAAATATTTTCAGACTACAACATTCTTTAACCTCTTTCGTTATCTTCTCACCAGTACTCTAACACATACATACATACATTCTACTAGTGAGTACTTTATTTCTTCATTGCAAAAAGGTCGACTCCATTTATACCGATTTCTCAAAAGCATTCGATAAAGTGTCCCATAATATACTTATCCACAAGTTATCTCTGTTTGGTTTTCATTTTTGTATTATTAACTAGTTTAAGTCCCATCTGTATAATAGAAAATGTCTCGTCGATACCTTTCATTGCTAGTACATCTGGTGTCCCTCAATGGTGCATTCTGGGTCCACTTCTCTTTCTAGTATTGTTCATTAATGACATTGGAAACTGTTTTTCATTATTAAGATCTATCACACCATCGCTAATGTAGGTGATATGCGCGAGCTCCAGCCGAATATTGACTGCCTCTATACTTGGTGCTAAATAATCGTTTAAGCCTCAATATTTCGAAAAGTAACACGTCTCCACAACACAAACAAAAATAATACAAACAACAATAACACAAACAAAAATCTCACACTCATAAATATCATACACATAAATAACACAATTAAATAGTAACACGGAAAAACCAACTTAGTGAAGGTTATAATCCCTAAGTGTGGCCGAAAGCCGCCTACGCAGAAAGGTGTTCGGCCTCTTTTCTTCGCAAAACAGAAATAAAATGCTACTTAGTGAGGGTTATAATCCTAAGTGCGGCCGAAGGCCGCCTACGCAAAAAGGTGTTCTATGCAAAAGGTGTTCGCAGAACGGGAGGAGAATTTTACTTTGTGAGGGATATAATCCCTAAGCGCGGCCAAAGGAAGCCTACGCAGAAAGGTGTTCTCCGCAAAAGGTGGGGTGTGTTCAGTAATTCATTATGACTTTCAGTATTTGCAGAGCTGGCAGCACTGCAGATTTGATGATTGATGCAGCTGATAGAATTGTTGACAGTTTGCAAATAGGTTTGTTGCACTTTGAACGCTTTCTTTACTAGCATGGAAGTGTTATGAAGTTTAATAGTGGACGATATTTGTGAGCCAAGAGCTGACAGTTTTTTATTGAATTCAAGAAAAAGAAAACTTTTAAAGTTTAAAGAAGATTTCTTATTAAAAGTCTATCACTAAAGCGAAAAATACTTAAAAACGAGACTTTTTTTTAAACAATAAAAGCATTTCCGCAGGACATATTTTATTCTCATTTTCGAATGAATTGGTCCACTTTCAATGTAAGTTTTTACATGTTTTAGCAAAAGTAGTATTTTCTAATCAAAGTTATTTTAATTAAGGCCTTGAAAGACGCCTTGTCTCCAACCCGGTTAACTGCAAGATTTGGCCGCTGTAGTCATTCATTAGAAAAATGTCTATACGTAACATTATGGAAGCTATGTAATCGCAGGGTCACCTTCCGCCAGCTTTCGGATCGTTTCAACATTGTGAGGGGAACAGCGTACTCTCTGTTCATTAAAACAATCAAAGC